ATCATGAGGGGTCTTTGTGGATGTTACCTTGACCATGCTTGAGTAGATGCCTCAGATATTCCCGGATCAGCATCCTTTGGGATTTCGTACTTTCGTGGGCGTTGCTAGTCAGATTGAGCTGCCCATTGCATATCGGAGTACTACTCTGTGCGAATGGAGAGCAAAGTTTACCATCATAAAGTGAGGGAAAGACGCAAAGAAGTGTGTGAAGAAGAGCTAGAGGAGGAAAAAAAGCTACGTCCCTCTCTTACACCACGAGCTTCAGGTGTCGCTGTTGGACCAGACGAAGGAGGAATGGAGGAGGAAACTAAGGAAAGACCCGCACGTGGCTGTGCGCGATGTGCAGATTTTCCCAATTAGGGGCGGCAGATGCCAGGGTATCCCCCTCCTGCCCCTCATGCCCGGGGGCCAGTCCCAGCCAAGAGACCCAAGACAGAGGGGGACATGGGGCTTGCAACACCCTTTAAGCCCCTGGTCATAGCATCCCTGGCTAATGGAAGGCCCGGATACCGATCTCTGGTTCCTGGGCGTTGGAACTTGGCGCCACCAGGGTCGCACTTCCTTATACGCAGTACTTGTACTTCGTAAGGTACGGAGTAGTCGTGGGTTGTGAGTGTGACAGTCTCACAGTCTCACTGTTCAGTGCTCAGGCGCGCTGGGTTCGGGTTCAAGATTCGTCACAAGTACCTTATCGCCCGATAAGCGGTCGGGTGCTGTACGTACCTTACCTGGCGCAAGGATGGGACAAACCGATACCCAAGGTAAGGTACCTTACTCTTCCTCCTCCCTCAGTCCCAGGTGCAGAGCAAGGTACCTTCTACCACAGACCAGACCAGTTGGTGCGGTCTCGCGCCGCCCGCCAACAGCATAACGTACAATCTTGTCTGAAACACCATCTACCGCCAGTCACCTTTACACATTCAGCTCTCAAGCTCCCCTCTCCATAGACTCCAACAACTCCCAAGCAACCAAGACTCCCAAAGAGTCTCCGAGCTGGCGGTAGACCCTCGTCCCATTCGAATATCTCCCAATGAACGACAGCGCTTACCGACCCGCTCGCTCTCCAAGGAACCGCTGTTCAAACGCCCTTGTCTTGTCTTGCCCCTTTTGCTATCTGTACTCCGAGTTTGCTCTTCTGCCCTTTGCCCTTCGGTACTGAGTACGGATACTTCGTACTTTGGACTCTTCGCGCTTTGCCTCTCTGGTCATCATCTCATCCCATGTTCCTTGGTTCTTCCTCCCAGATACACCAACTGGCACCACAGTCTGACCCCTGACTGTGATCTTCGTACTTCTTTGCCGGGTGGCCCCTGCCAGGGCGCAGCCGCGTGCGATGTGCTGGCTCGACGAGAAGGCAGCTCCTGATCCCAACACCAGATGAAGCCTTGTTTTGTTTTGTGCTTGTTTCCAGGCTGCGAGTGAAGACACACGCAAAGAGGACCATGGCGCTGTCATCGCAGGATCAGGACGCTGGCAAAAGCTGCGCCTGCGCCAGCTCCTGCTTATCCTTTCCTTCCTCTTCCTCTTCCTCCTACCTTGACGCTGATCTTGACATTGACGACATCTCCGCTTCTTCCAACCCGTCATCTTCGTGCTTCCATTCCTGCTGCTGCTGCCACCGCCCCAGCTTTCCACTTCTTCGGAGCCCTGCTACCAAGATTGCCGTCCAGGATCAGCATTACCGTCCCTCCTCATCGCCTTGTCCGTACCCGCCTTCTTCCCACCACCTCCATTACTGCTGTGCCGGTCCACCAGTTCGGAGGAAACCTGGACAAGGGGCACATGGACCGGAATCCTCGCCCGCTCCTGATATATTTAACATCCCGGCCCTCCTCTACCGAAAGTGGCCTCTCCTTGCTCTCGCCATCGCCATCGCAGCTGATACATATATCCTCCTCCACTACTCTTCCTCTCACTTCTCTACATCCAACAGAGAAGACCAGACGAACTGTCCCACCTCCTTACCCAACTCCTTATACTTAATAACATTCAACATGGTCGCCAACGTTGGAGGGCTCGCAGCCCGGGCAGTCTTTCTCATGTCCACTCGTCCTATTGCCCAAAGAGCGGACGTCGCCTCATACACCAATAATGCCGTTGCCGCCATCCGCACGCTCGAGACGACCTGGTACGACGTTGGCTCAGGTCTTTGGGACAACGCCTGGTGGAACAGCGCCAACGCCTTTACAACCCTCGCCGACTTCGCCGACCTGAATCGGAATGCCGCTAACGAGCTCAACATCGGAGGTATCCTCATGAACACCTTCCAACAGGCTCAGAAGGCCACAGCATCAGCTTCCAAGTCTATCAACGCGGCTGGTCTTGTCACAACCTCGTACGCCATCACCAAGCGTGAGGTCCCACTACCCATCGAAGGTCGTCAATTCAGCGCTCAGGGCTTCCCCAACTTCATCAACGAGTTTTATGACGACGAAGGCTGGTGGGCGCTCGGCCTGATCCGCGCCTATGATCTTACCCAGACTCAAGATTACCTCGATATGGCCGTGCGCATCTTTGCCGATATGAAGACCGGCGGTGGTACCAACTGCAATGGCGGGATCTACTGGAGCAAGGACCGCAAGTATGTCAACGCCATTGCCAACGAGCTCTACCTCAGCGTCGCCGCCTCGCTGGCCAACCGCATCTCGGGTGATAAGGCCAGCTACCTCAAGATCGCGACTGATCAGTGGACCTGGTTCAAGGCCACCGGCATGATCAACGACGATGGCACCATCAACGACGGCCTGGACGGCAACTGCAAGAACAACGGCGCCAACGTGTGGTCTTACAACCAAGGTGTCGTCCTCGGCGGTCTTGTCGAGCTCAGCAAGGCTAATGGCGACAAGTCGGTCCTGACAGACGCCACCAACATTGCCAAGGCGGCCATCAAGCAGCTGGCCGACGACAACGGCATCCTGCACGACACTTGCGAGCCCAACTGCGGCTCTGACGGCAACCAATTCAAGGGCATCTTTGTCCGTAACCTGCGATACCTGCACGCCGCGGCGCCCAACAACGACTTCAAGACCTTCATCACCAAGAACGCCGACAGCAACTGGAATACCAACCGCGACTCGGCTGGCAAGATGGGTGTCGTCTGGTCGGGCCCCGCGCAAGGCGTTTCCGGGCCGACTCACAGCTCGGCACTCGACTCCATCGTTGCCGCCATTGCCGTCGCGTGAGCGAAAAGACCTTTTAGAGATGAATAGTTCTCAGACCTTTGGATCCTCACCATCATCGGGCAGGCGTTGGACATTTTTGCTTTCTTCACATGGCCGCTCTACAAACACTCGTTCTCTTTAATTAGGCGCAGGGGAAAAAACGGCAACGAACGGATTAGACTTGATCGAGAACGGGATACCCCTCAGAACACACGGACACTCCTTTGATGCCCTGGGCTGAGCAAGACAAGACCAGCTCGGGCGGCGCATGGGAGCGGTTTTCTTATTGTTAATAATGACTCTAATGAGTAATGATACCATAGTTTCGTTTTGGATAGTCTTTAGGTTAGGCTTGCGCGGGAGCATGCGAATATGCTGAGGCAGAGACGTGTTGGATAATACATGATCTTCCACCACATACATACACGCTATTCAATGACTACCCGTTCTGTGAGACTCGTGATTGCACCAAAACTACTCCGTAGAGGCCGCCCTCCATGGATCCATAGCATCTGGGTAATTCCCCTGAGCTAGGCTTCCGTGGATCTCAAAGGAGAGAGATTCTAAAAGGACTGAGCGCCAAGGGGGTCTCCACGGTGGTATCGGCGCGGGAGGTTAAATTGGGAGTTGATGCAAACTCTCGAGAGTAAAAAAAAAAAAGAAAAAAAGGGAGATCTCCCGAAACGATCATCCGCGAGTTCATTCGGGGCTGTGAGCCGGTAGTGTACAAAGAAAGTTAATTCTGGCGCAATGCTGATCGCTTCCGCTTTAAATTGCCCGAGGGAGATCGTTCGGGGGGAAATGGGCTGGTTGGTTGAGGTTCCATGGTTGGTTGTTATGCGGGGGAAATTGAAATTGGAGACCATCGCGGGTTGTTTCCCCCCCTTGTTCTCCTGTCAGGCAAAGCTTTTTTTTTTTTTTTTTTTTTTTTTTTTGGTGACGAGACGACTCTGATGAGACCCTAACTTTTGAGAATGTGTTCGGGTCAGGATGGTCTATAATCATGCTCTCATTATTCTTCCCTTCTTTGCATGATCGCTTATTAGTTCATCCATTCTTTCTTGGGCTCCTGTCGTCATTTGTGAGAGGCTTGCTTGAAAGAAGGGATTGAAGCTCGCAGTATTACAATTGGTCACTGCTATTTGGCTGTTTATAAGCATATTCGATCCCACTATGCGAATAATCACTAATATGTAGATACGCGTCATATGCGAAGATGGGGTGAAGTCTTGGCTCCTCAAGTTTTCTGTGGAGATTTGACTTCAGAGTTCCCTGCAGAGGCAGTCAATGATCCGCGCATCCTCCCATCTCCAACCACACACATTACACCAGCCAGCCTGCAAAGCCAGAACTCTGTCCGACGCTGGCAGTCAAGCCACAGCTTTGTCATGATACACATGCGCGTATTCTCAGCCAGGGTGGGAATTCGCAAAGACAAGAGAGCCCCCCCCCACTCGTTGACTTTTCGAAATAGCATTGAGAGCCCGCCACATCAGGTCCCCCCTCCCTTCCGGTCCGTTCCGGTTGGAAGAAGGAGCTGAAGCTCCCGTCCGTCGCTCACACAACATGCCAATAAGTCGACGCAGTGAGACATCACTTTGGCGCGTATTTCAACTAAGGCAAGGTACGACGAGGCGAGGGGCTTACCTACCTACCTATTTGAATTGTGCGCGGTGCGCCAATTGCTGCAGCAGTCCATGACGTAAGGTATACTTTTATCAACCCAAGTGGGCGGTGCGTCGGAGCCTTCGGGAAGTGGTCATGATGATATGGGCGCGTACCTTCGCGTGCGTATGTGAGAGAGAAGCTTTTGTGCCTCTCACACATTTTTTTTTTTTTTTTTTTTTTTTTTTTTTTTTTTTGCAATTCAGCATTCCTCAGCCGCGCTGTGTATCCTGGGACGAAGATTGGGACACGCAGCTTAGAAAAGGTTGTTTCATCTCTTTCCAGCCCATCTTTGCTCTGTCCGACCGAATTGGTTTTCCCGTCCCAATTGGATGTCGTTGCTTTGCTGCTCTTCCAAACCTGCGACGGTACCACGGAGCGAACTCTTCGTCTCATCTTCGGTCTCAGCTACCTACCTACCTACAATTTCCTCTCTTCTTCTGATACCAATCCCCTTCCAGTGAAGCAATAGTCGATCTTAAAGAAAACCCGGTAGCAAACACCGCGGCCATGGCAGCCACCTCGGCCGACCCCTTTGGCCAGATCCTCAAGGACCTAGTCCTCATCGCCATCAGCCTCGCCTTCGTCCCCTTAGCCACGACAATCCTCGTCCTGAGCCATGCGTGGCAGCGCTTCCTGCGTCCCGGCCAGGCCTTCGATCCCGCCGCCGCCACAGACCGCCAACAACAACAGCGGCGCACCATCCTCGTCACCGGCGTCGGTATGACAAAGGGCCTCACCCTCGCACGACTGTTCCACCAAGCAGGCCACCGCGTCGTGGGCGCCGACTTCTCCCCACACGCCTGCGGCAGCCGATCCGTCGCCCTCGACGCCTACCACGTCCTCCAGAAACCCGGCCGAGCCGGAGGCGGCGCCGACCCGTACCTCGACTCGGTGCTGCGGATCGTCGAGCGGGAAAAGGTCGACCTCTGGGTCAGCTGCTCGGGCGTCGGCTCGGCCGTCGAAGACGGCGTCGTCAAGGAGGTCGTCGAGGCCCGCACGCGGTGCCGCGCCGTGCAGCCCGACGTCGCGCGCACCCGGATTCTGCACGAGAAGGATTCCTTCATGGACCACACGCGCGAGACGGGCCTGCGCGTACCAGAGTCGTACCTCGTCACGAGCCGCCACGAGATGCTAGCCGCGCTCGAGGAGGCGTCGGGGAGCCTGTCATACGACGATGACGACGACGACCCCGCGTCCACCGCCAAAACCAAGAAACCGCGCTTCATCGCCAAGTCGGTGGGCGTCAACGACCGCGGCCGCGGCGACATGACGCTGCTGCCGCTGCCAACGGAGAAGCAGACGTACGACCACGTCTACCGCCTCGAGTGGCTGGGCCTGTCGGACAAGGAGCCCTGGCTGCTGCAGGAGTTCATCGACGGCGACGAGTTTTGCACGCACGCGCTCGTGGTCCGCGGGCAGGTGAGGGCGTTTGTGGCGTGTCGCTCGGCGGAGCTGCTGATGCACTACGTCGCGCTGCCGGCTGCGTCGGCGCTGTCGAGGGCGATGCTCGAGTTTACGAGGAAGCAGGCTGCGTCGTTTGGGGAGGCGTATACGGGGCACTTGAGTTTTGATTTCATGGTCAGCGGTGAGGATGTTGCTGCGGCGGCGGCGGATGGGTGTAAGCCTGAGCAGCTGAAGCTGTATCCGATTGAGTGTAACCCGCGGGCGCATACCGCTGTTGCGTTGTTTGGGGATACGCCGGATCTGGTGGAGCAGTACCTGAGCGTCCTAGACGAGGCGGAAACTTCTAGTGGCAGCGGCTCGGAGACAGATGTGGTGACGCCGAGGAGGCCGGCCAAGTACTACTGGATCGGGCACGACCTCTTCACGCTGCTGCTGCTCCCCACGGCGAGGCTGCTGCTGTTCAGGATATCGATTGCGGCGTACTGGCGGTCTGTGAGGACGTTTGTCGAGCACGTTCTATTCTGGAAGGACGGGATGTTTGAGCTGTGGGATCCGATGCCGGCGTGCTGGCTTTATCACGTTTACTGGCCCATGACGTTTTGGGACTGCGTTGTGAATAGGAGGGGCTGGAGCCGGATCAACGTGAGCACTACAAAGATGTTTGAGTGCGATTGAGGAGTTCAGTGTCAGTGTAGATGCCATGTCGATTGACGGTTTTCAATCCAAGGCCACTTTTTGAAAGTCACATTAATGATTTGATCAACTTCGTGGAGCTTTTGTGACAGCTTCTAAATGCTTCCAGGACCCAAATGCAAATAGAGCATAGTTCAGAGATTAAGACGAACCGTCAAAATTGCCAAACTTCTGGTCAAGGTGGATCCGGTGGCCACTGCCTTAATGATTCTTACATGGCATGTAATATCAGATACTAGATCTCGGACTCGCCCTTAGTGCCGGGATCAGGGGGCCTAGATGTAAACTCGATTACGACGCTCATGTCACTTTAGGGCGGAGGGTCTAAAACGCTTTTTGGACATTCTTATGTCAACGGAGCGCCCTTTGAACAGGGAACAAGACCCGTTGGGCTGGTTTGCAGTAAAGTCGGAGCGTTCCGAGGCCATTCCGGCCGGTGTTCCGAGCGAACAACCCTGCGTTGAGCCGCCCCGCGCGGGTGGTTGACGATTAGTCGAGTACCCACGACGAAAACAGCTTTCAATGCTTTTGACCTATGATAGGTCTCTATTCTGAACCCACCTTCCAAGAATCGGGGAGTTAGGAAATCGGATAATGATGTGATGGGCGGGCACGGTGGAGTAGAGATACAGATACAGAACTCCATGTCGTCTATGAACAGCCGACCCTAGTCGGTGAGCTGCGCTTGATTGGCTGGGCTGTAACTACCTACGTCCACACACAACTGACTTCATCTCATGTGTGCGTCTCTCTCATACTGCTTGAAAGGTGGCATAAAAGACTCGAGATATCTTCCTTATAAGACGGATCATACTGCCCTCCAAGCACGCAGCCAGGCTCCGGAAATAGAGCATTAGCTTCGGCGCTTAGATATCAAGCAGCATACCTTCAAGATGGACTCATCCGAATTTCGCACCGCGGCCGCAGAGGCCATAGACGACAGTAAGTCTCTCATCACGCTCTCACGAATCTCATCCACATTCTGCTCACTCTCACTCTGTCCTGCCTCACTTCACGTTACTTCACGATGCCCTCAATCGCTAACGATATACCCCCATAGTCACAAAATACTACGACACAATCACCTCCCAACCAAAAGTCCTCCCCTCCGTAACCCCAGGCTACCTCCGCCCCCTCCTCCCCGAATCCGCCCCCGAGGACCCGGAATCATGGCAATCCATCCACGCCGACCTCCAATCCCACATCGTCCCCGGCATAACCCACTGGCAATCCCCTTCCTTCCACGCCTTCTTCCCCTGCTCCTCCTCCTACCCGGCCATGCTCGCCGAGCTCTACTCAAACGCCTTCAACGGCGCCCACTTCAACTGGATCTGCTCCCCGGCCGTCACCGAGCTCGAGACAATCGTCCTCGACTGGCTCGCGCAGCTCCTCAACCTACCGGCCGCATACCTCTCCACCGCGCCCACCCGCGGCGGCGGCGTCCTCCACGGCACCGCCTCGGAAGCCATCCTCACCGTCATGGTCGCCGCCCGCGATAAATTCCTCCGCGCCCGCACCGCCCACCTGCCCGCTGACTCGGAGGAGAAGGAAGAAGAGACCTGGCGCCTGCGCTCCAAACTCGTCGCCCTCGGCAGCGAAATGGCGCACTCGTCCACCAAGAAGGCCGCACAAATCCTCGGCGTCCGCTTCGCTACCGTCCCGGCCCCGGCAGAAACAGGCTACGCAATGTCCGGCCCCGCCCTCGCCTCCACCGTCGCCGCCCTCCGCGCAAAGGGTCTCGAGCCGTTCTACCTCACCGCGACCCTCGGCACAACCGACACCTGCGCCGTCGACGATTTCCCAGGCATCAAAGACGCTCTCCTCGCTTCTGACGAGCAAGACGACAGCATCTGGGTCCACGTCGACGCAGCCTACGCCGGCTCAGCCCTGATGCTCCCCCAAAACGCACACCTCACTAGCCCTTTCACAGCCTTCCACTCCTTCAACGTGAACCCGCACAAGTGGATGCTCACAAACTTTGACTGCTCCGCCCTCTGGGTGCGCGACCGCGCCTGGCTCGTCGAGTCGCTGAGCATCAAGCCGGCCTACCTGCGCAACCAGTTCTCCGAGGCCGGGCTGGTGACGGACTACCGCGATTGGCAGATCCCGCTCGGCCGGCGGTTCCGCAGCCTGAAGCTGTGGTTCGTGCTGCGGGCGTACGGGGCGAGCGGGATCCGGAAGCACTTGGAGAGGGGCATTCGACTCGGGGAGAGGTTTGCCGAGATGGTGGCGGGGAGGGGGGACTTGTTTGAGATTGTGACGGGGCCTAGGTATGCTCTGGTTGTGTTTACGTGCAAGGCGAAGGCTGGGGGGAACAGAGAGCGGAGCAACAAGGTTACGGAGGCGGTGTTGGAGAGCGTGAATGGGGAGGGGGTGATTTACCTTACGCCGACGACGCTTCATGGGTTGTATGGGATTCGCATGTGTACGGGCAGCAGCCAGGTTATTGAGGAGGAGCATGTTAAGAAGGCGTTTGATATTATTGTCGCCGCTACCGAGAAGGCACTTGCCGAGGGGCAGTAGACTCTCTTTTCGTATTTCTGTAGAAATGCATCGAAAGAATAGACTTGGTTGGACACGAGTATACGTGTTTGAACTCACAGCCGTTTGAGTGACCGATAAGGACTGCTGTGTACTAAGGGCAAATGTTGTCTTTGTCTGCTAAAGTTTCGAGCTCAGCGTTCGGTTTGATCTTGAAAGCCGCATCATCATGACTCTTGTAGAGACTCCTTGCGGCGACCTAATATTCCATGCGTAGAAGTAATTCAAGCATTGATGGTGGATCTCGCCAGTCTGTAACTAGCCAAGGGCCATGAACGTGGAAATTGACAATGACCCACAAGGAGAATACGCAAGCGAACGAAAAGATGGCACTATCCACCGCATTGTTGTCCAATGTAAGGCACCGTTGGAGCTGCAGGTATATATGATTGAATTTCCAACGAGCGATCTGTTTAAATCATAAATGACGCAAAAACGTCTAAACCATGTAAATGCTTCGCTCCAACATGACATCTAACCCCTTGCTTTGAAGGAGATAGTATAGCTGTAGGTGTTTTCGATCTTTCTCCCGTATGCAAAACCCATCCCCACCCCATTCCATGCTAATCATAATCATTCTCATAATGTCGTTTAATAATGTAATGTCGGATGTCACACAGCCCATTCTTCATCCATCCGAACCAGGGGTACGCCGACGAAGCATCCCCACGCCAACGTCTCTCTCTCTCACCAATTCGAATAATACTCCTTCGACCGCGACACAGGAATACTCCGACTCCGTCTCTTCTCACCATACCTAGGCCGCCGGTCTCCATACCCATAATCCCTCTCAAACTGGTCCATAGCCCTAACGTACTCCCTACCCCCGACACCCCTCACACTGACACTCTCCTCCCTCACCGCCCTCGCCTCAGAGACATCGCTCGGCGGCGGCGCATAGTCCCTCACGGACTTATACTCCCCCTCACGCCAATCCGGGTCGTAGTAATCCCGATCGCTCCGATCATCCCGAAAACCCCGCCCGTCGTCGCTTCTGTCGTCTCTGTCGTCATCGTGTCCCCCTCTGTATCTATCCCTGTCGTACCCGGCTTGGCTGCGACTACTCCTCGGCGGCCGGGAGCGTGACTGTCTCTCCCTCTGCCTCCGTCTCTCCTCTTTTCTATCTTCCTCCTCGTGCTTTTCTTCCGTGCGCTTGAGGGACTTGTCGATCCCAAAGGCCACCGTTGCGCCAATGAGGCCGAGGGCGATGGCCTGGCCCCAGTCGAAGCCGGCGACTTCCTTTTCGAATTCTTTGCGTTCTTTGCGTTTTTCGGGTTCCCCTTTCCATGGTCTTGGATCGGGAGGGAGGAGCTTGCCCGGCTTCACCATTTTGATGTGTGTAAATATGTGTAGTGTATATTCTCTGTCAGTTGACTTTGGTGTTCGTTTCTGGTTTTTTCAGATATCGAGATTGGATATGTGTGTTGAACGTAGGTAGTTGAAAGTAAATTGGGGGTTGTTTTATGTTTCGATTTGGGCGTCGTCAAAGACTGTTGTTCAACATCCGTCGTCTAAAACAGTTTCTTTGTGTCTAGTGCTCTTGGTATGCGTCTCGACGGTAAAAGCGTGGGAAAGGTTTAGTTTTTTTTTTTTTTTTTTTGGCGTTCCCCTCAAAAAGCGGCGTCAAAGTGCAAAAAAGTCGCAGCGGTACGTAGGATTATATATCTCCAAAGGATTGCAGGTGGCGTTCATGCCCTTGTCGAGGAGGGGGGTAGGTACTGGATTGAGACAAAATATGCAGGGGAGACTTCTGACGGCGTTGCACTTTGCAACGGCAATCGGGGATGGATCCGGATCGAATTTGTGGCTGGCAGGGGGGAAATAGAACCACACAAGTGAATATCTTGGGTATAAAATGACAAGCACCAGAGACAAAGCTGGGCACCTCTAGAAATTTAATACCCAACACTAACAAACACCCAGCCCCGGCATTCCCACCCCCTTCACCGCTGGGCCATGAGACAGCCCGGCATTCCCCCGCACCCACTAGCTGAAGCAAGCCAGGCATTTCTGTCATCCATGCTTGGTGGCTCGTTCGACTGCCGGGAAGCCTAGGGGGAGCTTGCCGTGCTTGCCCATTGGGCTCGAGCTGGAAAGCTTGTCGTCACCGTGCCTGCATGATGTCATGGGTTCGGCCCCGAAATGCTCCACACTCCCAGGTCTCTGCTGTCCACTGGTCGCTACGTCTTACCCCATCATTCCCGCACCCTACGATTGTTCCACTGGCCCAGACAATTCCCACAGGACCACGGTCCACAGAAGCCCCCGCCAAGCCGTTGACGTCAAAAGGCTCTCGATCTGGCCATAGCTCCCGGGCCTCACATTCTCCAAAACGAAAATGGCTCCACCCAAAATGAGGCCCAGCATCACCAGTTGCAGCACAGCTCCCACAGGCCACAGCTCGAGAGCCCAGATGCCCCCCCCCAAACCCCATCATGAGACCATCGTGCTATCATATACTCGTGAGTCGTGAGTCGTGTCCTCTTATCCGAACACCCACGGCACCCTACTCTCCCACACACCCTCGGGGAACAGATCCTGTCTTAGCCACGAGGCCTAGCAGGGTTTGCAAACCCCTGATCTAAAGCCAAACATCATCGACAAGCGGTTGACGCCGTCACCGCCAGGCGCGGGAAAGAACAGACACTTGTCTGGAGGCACACTACACAAAGGGAAATATGTTGGTCCGTTGTGGCAGTGCAAAGGTGGTATCATTCGTGCTCCTCGTGTAAGCATGTCTAAGGTATGAGAATCTACTAGATGCTGGCTCTCCTCGGTGCCATGGTCCTCCGCATCGCCTTCTTTGCTTCATTCTCTTCCATAAAGGGCAACGACCCGTCATCTCTAAGCTTCTGCAAGTATTCCTGCCCATATTTGTATCCCATTTGATAAAGCTCGTCAAACTTGCCAAAATCGAGCGTGCCATAATCGTCAATCGGAGGCCGCATGTAGAAGCAGCCTGGCATCGTCTTCGCCCGTTCAAGAGCGTCAACGCTAGACACGTAAGCAAGTCTAGCCTGGATCTCGGCCAATGTCGGCGGGTTGGCTGTGCCCGAGAACGGGTTCCACCTATTCCAGAATGCCCACACTCCCGACAGCGAATCACCATACGCCTGTGGAGTATCGTCGTCCAGTGACCCAACGTCAACCGAGAAGATGGTGTCCACACCCAACCTCTTCATATGGGAGACAGTCAGGTTATCAATGTAGCCACCATCCAAAAGCATGCTGCCCTCATCGCATAGTGGTGGGAGCAAGCCAGCCAGTGACATCGAAGCTCGGATATATCTCCATGCATACCCACTCGTGTGGTATTCGATTCGACTCTTGCTGATGTTTGTCGTGTTGCAATAGTACTCAAGCCAAAAGTCCTCAATCTGAGTTTTGCCAAATGTCTTGAAGATGCCCCGATTGAACTCATGTCCAGTGGTGTAAGAGGCAGTCGGGTATGTGAGATCGAGAGCGAAACGCCACATGCTGGCCATGCGGCCCGAAAACTTTTTGGCGAGACCGAAGATGGGAACAAGATCGGCATGACGAGCGTAGAGGGCGCCAATGAACGCGCCGATGGAAGTTCCGCCGACAACGTCAATGGGGATGCCAGACTCTTCCATGGCCTGGATGATGCCGATTTGGGTGATGCCTCTTGCGCCGCCACCACCCAGAACGAGCCCAACTGACTTGCCGCATAGGCGTCTCGCCAGACGATGAAAGTCGCCCTTGTAAGGTGCATCTGGAGAGTAGAAAGGACTGTGCCGTACCTTCCTCGAAGTGTACTTCTGAATCTCCGCCTGGATGATCTGAACCCTCTCCTTCAACGTGCTGGTTCGCTTCGACGGCTGATGCGCAGGCATGATGTTTGCCCCGAGAGCCATCTGGACATGGTAGTGTCCGCCATTGATCCACATACGATTTCTCAGCCAGGCTCGAGTCAATCCCGACTGGGAGTACCTCTCAGAATGGAGGAGAACGAGAAGCTTCCTCGCAGTCGACTTCATTCCCAACATGAAACGCTCATATTCTCCAATCTCCGGAGAGCCTTCCGCAAGACCAACCAGGAGGATGCAATCAGCTTGAGTGATGCATGTCTGAGTCCACGGAGAGTTGACATTGGTATCTGATGCAGAGTTAGCATCGGTTTTGAAACAGCAAAGTGTCATCAACAATCATGAGATAGGTAGTCCAATCAGGAAAAAATTAGAGTATGTTTGGCCATCAACGGCTTTTGCCTCCGCAAACGGTGTTTGTTCATCATAAAAAGGACAGTGTAGGTGAATAGAGTAATAGTGAGAGAGATCTTACCTGCGACGTAGACTACGAGACCATACTTCTCCTCCAGGTCGGCCAAGTATTGGGATAGCTTCAGCTTTCCCATCTTGTTGAAAGCATGCTTGCCGAGGTGGTTGAGAATGGCAGACTGGTTGAGGGAGGTGGCACCGTTTGCAGGGCCAACCTGAGCCAAAGCGTTCATCAACCGATTGCCAAACTCAACCACAGGAACACCAGAAGTCACTGGCAAGATCGCAACGGTCCTCAAGTTGAGCGACGAAGAGCCTTTGGTGATTGTGTTGGTGTTGCCAGCCTCCTTGGAGAGAAGCTGTGAGGGGTCGTCGACCAGGTTCCTCATCCGCGACGCAATGATCTTGGAAATCTTGATCGTGATGTTCGGGTGCTCATGGGCAAGACTGTTGAAGAGTGTGCGTGGGAACTTGACCAACTCAGTCTGGCGGATGGCATGGAGCGTGCCTGGTCTCACAGACTCCGTCAAGACTTCGAGTTCACCCACACTCTCGCCCTGGCCGAACTCAGCCCGCACGCTAACACCGCCATCCTTCCTGTCCTGTACGAGACGAAGTCGACCGTTGAGGACAATGTGAATAGCTTCGCTCTCTTCACCCTCATGGAAAAGCACTTGGCCAGCGTCAACTTGCTCCCAGTCAAGGGCGAAATCAATGTGCATGATGAGACGCGGGAGCAAGCTCGTCAGTCGCTTGGCCATTGTAAGAAGTACAATGGGATACCGGTCGACGATTCTCTCGAGGGCGGACCGAGGCAAGAAGCCAACATAGACGTCCGTCTTGGCCACGACGTCGATGAACGATCGATATGACGACACCGTGCCCACGTACCCGGCAAGACCACCTGGCTTGATGAGTGACACACTGCGACGATAGGGCTGCTTCTTCTTTGCATCGAGGTGATCAGGCGGATATGCCGGAGACCCATCCATACCCATGTGATCAGTGTGCAGCGTCGTCCTACTTGATGACTGCAAAATGTCCGCCGATGTGTCCTCCTTCGAAGTGCAGATGTCGAGGAAGCCGTCAACGACGTAGTAGAGGCCTGGATTGCGCTCGCCTTGCTCGACCAAAACGGAACCCTTGGGGAAGAACACAATCTCCACGTCATCCTTCATATCGCTTGCGAGGATGTGAGCGTTCGGCGGAGTGTTCAATGTGAAGCCTCCAGAGGTCATAGACTCCGTGTCGCCATCACCAGAAGCATCGAAAGGGCCCATGAGACCGAAAGCGTTGTTGCCTAGGCCAGGTCTCGGTCGCCTCTGGTCGTAGGAGAAGAGCCGCGGGGATCCTTCGACAGACTCGGCCTCGCGGGAGACACTTCCATTGCTGCTCAGACCGATCGCCTTGAACATGCATTCGAGGATTGACTGACGGAACAGGTTGTCCTCATCCAGCGACTCTCGGCCGTCAATCGAGGCTCGAGACTGCCTCTCGGTCGTGAACGGATCGAAGGCTCGCTGGGCAAGCGGGCTGGTCCCCTCCTGACGGAGAGCGTCAGCGACTTGATCCAGATGAACGCTGGCTGAACCTGATGGCCGGTGGCCGACATGCCGGGCAGACTGGATGTTGGCCAGGAGATCACCGGGACTTGTCTGAGTGGAGGCCCTCTCCCTCGGTGGTCCGATCGTTGTAGCAACCTGGGAAAACGATCTCTCCTTGGTAGTCATGGAATGCATCATGGCATCCTTGCGGAGGGTTGTGGTTGACTTGCGCCGACGATGCGCATTGGCATTGTGAAGCGCAATGCCTTTGCTCTCTGATTCGCCGCCAACTCTCTCTCGCTCCCGATCGAACTTCTCCTTCAATCGCTGCAAGGCATCGCCTCTGAGCATATTGGGCAACTGACACGAGGTGAAAGAAAGCATGTTCTTCTCCGTCTGCAAGACTTCGCCAGTGAGTCCCAGGTAGTTGTAAGCCGTCGCCAACGTTACTCTCTGAAAACGAGAGAGAATGACTTGGACGATGTGGGAAGTAGCCTTGGGGTAGACCTTGGTGAGCCGGCGGAAGGCACTTGCTGGGATGATGGCAATAGTCGTGTCTACCGTTGCTCGTGCAATAATGTCCGGGTGGGCTGAGCCAGAAGTTGCTCGACTCTGAAGCTGAGGACGCTTCGGCTGCCGAGCACTCCCTGGAACACTTCCACTGCTGTCAAGCGAGATGGGCGGGATTCTTGCGCTGCCGGGCAAATTGGGTGTGGTGGCCCGTTTGGGAGGTTCCTCGATCCTCACTCCGGTCCTTTCCTCCGGGATCTCTGGGAACTCGGGTGTTGCTGGGAAAGGACTGGCGGGGTCTGACGGCATGCGGCGGAAGCCTGCGGTGCGTGGGAATGGTGAGGTTCTCAACCCAGCACTGCCTGAAGTGGGCTCCGGGGTGTCGTCATCTGTAGATCGAAGCTTGACGTCTTCTGTGAACAGTGACATGATGGAGAACAGGGACGACATGGGAGCTCCATTCCGAACCTCCGTAAGCAGTTGGTATCTCTGCTGCGGGGCTGACGACATGTCGTCGTCTTCTCCAGGATAGGCAGAATCTCCGCCGAAGCTGTCGCAAGGGTCTGGATCCATGGCTCTAGCATTTCGGCCAGATTTGACAAAGATTTCCACCAGCCCGTCGACGACAATGCAGAATCCCTTCTCCTCTTCCAGGTTGAAGGTCTCGCCAGCGATGAGCTTGCGAGTCTGCATGCTCCGGGTCAACTCGTGGAAGACCTGCCGCTCGAGGTAGCCAAAGATTCTGATGGCACTGAGGAACTCGTCCAGGTAGCTCGAAAGGCCTGATTTCTTGCCCTCATCGTGGGATTCGGGGAACAAATCGACGTCAGGCTCTTTCCTCTGCGGCTCCGGGGGAAGTCGAGAGTACATGTTGAGGATGCGATAGCGCACCACCCAACTGACAGCGGATATGATGGCAACCATGATCACCATGCTGCGCGTCAAGTCAGCAGAAGCTCAGAGGCAGGCTGGTGGGATGATGGAGCGCGTACAGAGTAGTAGCGTTCATCGTCACGGTCCAACTTGTCGAGAACAAGGTGAACAGGACAGTAGGAATTGTAATGGTAACGATCCGAATCGCCCAGTACAGGATCGAGGAGATCAAGGACAAAATGGCGAGGATCAACCGGCCA